TTCAAGCTCAGAGATTCTTTCTTCAGCCAATTCCAGTATACTAATGAGCTTATCAAAGGCATTTTTAAATTTCTGTTATGGTGCTTTTATCTCTAGCATTTCTTTTTGATTCTTTCTTAGGATTTGCTTACCTTGCCCATCTGTTCTTGAATGTTGTCTACTTTTTCCATTAGAGCCCTCAGTGCCTTAATCATAGTTGTTTCAAATTCATGGTCTGATAATTCCAACATCCCTCCCATATCTGAGTTTTGTTCTGATGCTTGTTTTGTCTCTTCAAACTATTTTTTGTCTTTTTGTATGCCTTGTAATTTTTTGTTTAAAGACAGACATGATGTACTAGGTAAAAGGAACTCTGGCAAATAGGCCTGTAGGGATGGAGTAGTAAGCTGTGTGTGTGGGGAAGCATGCCATTGTCCTATGATTAGGTCTCAGTCTTTTGATGAGCCTGTGCCCCTGGACTGTGAATTTTACCAGTGCTTTTCAGTCCCTGCAGCTCCCTCTTTAGGTGGGACACGATGACCAGAGGGGGCTGGAGTTGAATATTTCCCTCCTCGTAGGTCAGTTAGATAAAATCCTAGTAGTTTAGGGTCTGGTAAAATAACTTCTCTTGAGCGCAGGCCTTATTAAGAGCAGAAAGCTCTGGTGAATTTCAAAATGGTTACTTTCCCCTACCTCTGCTGGGATATGTGTAAGGTTGAGTAGAAGGAAGAAAAGAAGATGGGTCTTGATGATGTCGTTGACTGACAAATCAACTCTAGGATGCCCTATATCTGATTTTCTTGTAGGGAAATAATAAATGCTCCTACCGTTTAAGCCACTGTTAGCAAGATTTGCATCCTAAAGCACTCCTAACTAGTACAACTGCTTTTCCCATGGACCAGGGGAAACATCATTTTGTGTGTGTATGTGGAGGGAAAACAGAAATATGGGGAACTCCTATGGTGGGGTCCCCTGGAGTTTTTTTTTTTAAGATTTTGTTTTTTCCTTTTTCTCCCCAAAGCCCCCCCCCCCCCCCGCCGGTACATAGTTGTGTACTTTTAGTTGTGGGTCCTTCTAGTTGTGGCATGTGGAATGCCACCTCAGCATGCCTTGATGAGCGGTGCCATGTCCGTGCCCAGGATCCGAACCGGTGAAACCCTGGGCCGCCAAAGCGGAGTGAGTGAACTTAACCACTCGGCCATGGTGCCCCACCCCCTGGAGTTTTAAACTCAAGGACTAGTCCACATTGAGCTTCCAGCAATTCATTAATTACAGTTCAGGTTTCCCTACCTTGGTACTGGCTTTCATGGAGGTTTCTGCTCAGATAAGTTGTGATTCTCTATCTGCCTGTCTCTCTAACTTTTAGGGCAGTGGTGTGCCCTGTGACCTCACTTTTTTGAGGGATCTAGAGGAATTGTTGATTTTTCAATTTGTGCAGCTTTTTACTTGTTGTTAGGTTGGAGTGGCACCTTCTAAGCTCCTTACATCTTTGACTGAGAATCATAAGTCCTCTATCTCATTTAACTTTCACAGTGAGAATCCAAGAAGATTGGTATTATTATTTAACAGAGGAAGACAAAGATGTTTTGAGTCTTACCAAATATCTTGAAGACAGTGGAGCCAGAATCTGAGTCCAGGTAGCCTGACCCTGGGGTGACTCCCAAGCTCATCCTCTTTATCGGAACACAATGGTTCTTTTTTAGATACCCAGTATTTTGTTCAATTGCTGAAAACTTTCTAGCGGAGAAGATGTCTTTTCCTTCTTTTCCCGTGCATTCTCATGTAGGACATTTTTAGGAGTGAAGAAGTCCCTTCTGAGGCTTAATGTGCATCTTTTCAGGTGACTGTAGGCCTTCCTCTGTCCATGCTCCTGAGGCAATGAGAATACCCTTTTGGCACTATCTTTATAATATCCCAGCTCATTTCCCTTGGAATCTTGGATCTAGCCCTGAGTCCAGAAGTAAAAGCAATGTAAAAAATAAGTATATATGTGCCCAGGACCAAAAAAGAATAGTTATCACCAAGGTAGAGGTATACAGGAAGGACTTATCCTGTATTCGCTTGTAAAGTAAGCTGACTCCATTGTCTGCATACCAAATTGCCTTAATGCCGTATGCTATTGTGATTTGTTTCACTCTTACCCCAAACCAATCTGGAATGACTCAATCAAGTCCCCAGTTGGTGATTTCAGGGCTGAAGAGACAACCTGGCCATCATGCCTATTTAGAAGCCCCTATAATAAGTACAGTTATTACAGGGAAACTTGGACAATTTTACAGCATTTTCACCAGCCAGCAAGATAATCAGAGTATGAAAAAAAAATCTCATTTTTGAGAGTGAGGTGGGAGTAATGACAGGGATGGGTGTTATTCTACCAATGATTTCTCCTGTTTCAAACCTTGTTTTGAAGGCTGCTTATTTATTCTTTTGCACCACAAAGGACAATTTGGCACTGAGATATCATCTTATTTCTGTTGTGAGGCGAATAATGAGACCAAAGTTATGGACTTAACACAGATTGAAGGAGGCTTCGACAAGTGGTGTCTGAAACATGGTTGTATGATGGAGAAGCGAAATTCTAGAGAGTGAAGTTCTGGAAAGTGCACCAAGCCCCACTGTATGTGATGCTGATTCCTAATCAATGACAGGGGTGTGAAGGCGGGGGAATGGGCCAGAGAAGAGCAAAAATCTGTCTAGGTGTGGTGATGTGCTACATAGAGTGGCTGGGTTATACAGTTCTCCCGTGAGTCTGCCGAAAGCCTGCCCCTTCTCAGATACCCTGTTCTTGGGGGCCCCTGGCTAACAGACTATTTCTTAGACTTTAATCTCTGCAATTAGTTTAGTTCTCTAGTATTTTATTGAGAAAGCCTACATCTATCTAGTAAAACTATTCACTGGGACCAAAATAAAGATCTCTCCTTTCTTATTTATTGGTGAAGGACTGGTGTAGTCTCTTTTAATTTGTTTCCAGAGTCCCTGAATCTCTTGTCTCAAAACTCTCTTTTTGCTACTTCTCTTGGAGGTCAGTGCACTACACAGAATAGACATTATTTAATGGGCCGCAAGATATGGTGGCATCCTACGTCATGAACACAAATATTTTAGGCTGTCATTTGCTCCTCTGTTTTCTCATGTCTCTGACCTTGGCTCTGTGAACAGAAGTGAAGAAGTTTCCCAAGATCCCTTGCAGCAGTGCATGAGCTTGGTTACACCAGGATCACCCCTGCCCCATGTTCCTTTTTGATCCTGTAAAGCTTCCATCTTTTCCAAGGTACATGTTGCCACTCCAAAAGGTGTGTTGAGGGTCATCTTCAAGACTCATCGTCATTTAGGCCTCTTGCCCTAAAATGCAATGTGACTGCTGGATTAGCCAGGTGGTTGCTCCTAAACATGGCATGTCCTTAGTATGTCCCTCAACTTTCAGCACAAGCACTCCATACTTGCTGCCAAATTAAGACCCTGCCTTGGCCTCAAACTAACCATCAGCTCACCAGTGAAGGAGCCAATTTAAACTTTTAACTGAATAAAAAGTTAGGGTCTAACACAAGGATCATGGTCAAGTACCCTTTTTCTTTTATCAACCCGTTAACAATGACATCTAACCCAGCCTCCTGAGCCTCTTCTCAAAGTCCGTGGTTCTAAAAGTATCCACTACTCTTCTAAGTTTTCTAACTACACTAGCTTTACTTACCTTCTTTTGTCTGGTTGGTCTGTCCTGCCTTGTCTGCTAGATAGGGAGTATGATTTTTGTTGGGAAATATTTTGTATGGATAGCTCTCTGTCCAGAGTGCAAATTCCTATAGTTATTTCATAGAGATATAGAGGATGTGCAAAGAATGTAATCCACAGCTGTTTCAGTCATTGCTGATCTGCCTTTTAAGATCTTTTATTCTGAGAAGAATCAAAGGGACAGATGATTTGGGAGTCTGGGTGATCACTTCCCTTGAATTCTGGATAGAATACACCCCAGTATAGGCAAGCAGGACTATCTAATAGCACCATACTTTATTTTCTCTTTCTAAATACATAGGTGGCATATGCATCATACATTTGGGTTAGGCAAGTGGCTTTAGCATTAAGAGTTATGACCAGGGAGCCTATTACAGGACTGTTTTCTCTTTCAGTGTTTCCCATGCTATCTAATGTTCCCTCGACTGGGCCCTGGGTTATGTGGGATAAGCTGGGAAAAGGTGGAAATGGCATGGGTTTGTGCAGAAAAGTGTCCAGCCCAGGAATGATAGGAAACTTTTCACGTCTGTTGGCTTAAGTAGTGACACATTCAGCTTGGTCTTCCTAACTCACTGTTTTCCCTCTGGGACTGCTATAATTCTCAAGATATGGCAATGCAGTTTGATCCAGCTTTGCCTTTTTGGATCAATTCATTCAACAAATAGTTACTAAAGCCTTCTATGGTGTTGGGCATGACATGGTTCTAGGCTCTGAGAATATAGTGGTGAGCAAGACTGATTAAAGTCCCTGTGCTGGTGCAGATGAACAATGACAAATAAACAAAAAAGTTGATTGCAGACTGTGGTAAGTGCCAGGAGGGGAAAAACCAGGGTGATGTGATGCGTAAAGTAGGGCCTATTCTAGATAGGATGGTCAGGGAAATCTCACTTCATTGGGGAGGTGACATTTAAGCTGAGATCTAAATGTCAAGAAAGAGCCAACCATGAGAAAAGGTTGGGGAAGGACATTCTGTGTGGAGGGAACAGCAAGTGTGAAAGTCCAGAGGCAAGAAAAAGTTTTGTTTGTTTAAGGGATAGAAAGGAGGCAATATGGTAGGTGAGGAAAGAGGAGAGTGATGAAGAAGTGAGTTGAAAGGACCAGCAAGAACCAGATCATGTGGTGCCCTGGAGAGCTGGTGATCAGTTTATAGTTTATACTGAATGAAACAGGAAGCCATAGAAAGGCTTTAAACAGGTGAGACATAGGATTTGCTTGTACTTAAAAGAAAATCTCCCTGGTTGTTGTATAGAGAATAGAATTTAACAAGGAGAATAGAATTTAACAAGAGAGAATATGGGGAAACCAGTTCTGAAGTCGTTTATTTAGGACATTGATTTCCATCCCTAACTTTCTTGGTGTCTTCAAGTGCCAGATCTTATTCAGCTGGGTGTTCCTGCTCTAGAAGAGTATTTTAGATGATTAGTGGTCTGGGAAGTTTTTACTCTGGTAGGGCATCAATTCATTTTTCCATCTCCCCTTTCATTCATTTATCTTCAGTCAGTCCATCTGTCCGTCCATCCATCCATCCATCCATCCACCCATCTATCCATCCCACAAATGTTCATTGAGATGCTGCTATCTGCCAAGCCCAGTACAAGTATATAATTTCTCGCCTGGAGCCCTGTACAGTCTATTTGTGGAGAGGGATATGCAAATACATAAATAAATATAAAACACTTTAATAAGGATTTTAATAGTGGAATGTGCAAAGTCTAATGGGAAGCACCTAGCAAGTAGCCAGGATAAGAATAGTTGACATTTGAACAAGGTCTTGAAAGAGGAATAGGAATTTGACAAACAATAATAATAAAAGCTTAAACTTAAGCTTTAAACTTAAACTTTAAACTTGTCTTTAACTTCTACTAGGTGCTAAGCATTGTGCTCAAAACTTTACATACATTATCTCACTTAGTCTTTCTCCCAACCTAGCAGGCTAGGCGGTATAATCCTCATTTGATAGACGAGGACACGGAAGCACAGAGATTGAAAAACTTTCCCAAGTCACACAGCTTGTCAGTAGCAGTCCTTACTGTTACACCCATGTCTGTATGGCTCCAAAGCCTAATTTTTAAACTATATTATTTCCCTATTATTTACAGGTTGGAGTATGATTTCTGTTGGGGAATATTTTATATGTATAGCTCTTCTGTACAGAGTGCAAATTTCTATAATTGTTTCATAGAGATATATAGGATGTGCAAAAAATTTAACCCATTATTTCAGTCATTAGTGATCTACCTTTTTAAGATCTTTTCTGTCAGAGGATTTCAGGCAAGAGATTAGCATGTAAAAGGCAGTGAGGCAAAGAAGACCTTGCCACATTTGAGGAAGATGAGGGGTTTGGGGAGCCTGAAGTACAGGGGGTAGAGTGGTAGAGGTGCAAGGGATGAGCTGCCGGGTAGGGTGGGGCCTAGGCAGGATGGCGCCACACAGCACGCTATGAGTTTGTCTTCCTCCCGTGGGCAACCTCAGCAGCCTGCTTATTAGCTTTCTTTCTTTACAACCTGGAGAACTGGATCAGGTCCCGATTGATCTCAGCAACTGACCGGCAGCCTAAAAGAACAATGCAGTTAAAAAGTTCATTTCTCTAAGACATCAGTAACCAACCCCATCATGGTAATGGGATGATGCAGTGAGAACAAGCCTGACTTGATCTGCATGCTCACCCTGATAAAATGTTATGTACACAGAATGAATAACATGATTCTGATTGCATTGGGAATTATTTTGTGCGCCTGTGCCCTTGTCCTCTTTTAACATGACCGTGTCAAAATGGCATGGTAAAAATATAAAAACACTATTTTGGCATTCTTTTTATCAATTCATGTATGCAACTTGGCCTTTATCTCGGTCTTGATAAGGCTCGGGAATATAGGAAGTATCTGTCACAGAGGAACATGACTCAGGGACAGCATAAGAGATGGGGTGAGTATTTCATACAGCAACTGCCTTCTCAAGGAAAGTTCCGTAAAGTGAAACACCCTTCTTTCATGGAGGATCTTGATTAAAATGCAAATTTAAGACTGTAGCTGAGACTAGACACAGGGATTGAGGAGAGTCACTTCAGATAAGAAGTAAAGAGAGAAGGGAGAAAGAGAAACTGGCATGATGGTTTGTGGTGGAGAATTGTGGGCTCAGGTAGACAGTGAAAAATCCCTGGGGGTGAGAAGGCTGAAAGAATTTAACAGGATGTGTAATGTTTCGCTTGAAGTTCTTCCACATCTATGATGCATGCAGCTTCACCTTCCAAAACATTACTTTAGCGAAGCGTATTACTCACAAAAATATAACTAATGAGAGAGACTTTTCCTAAAGATGGAGACCGAGGAAAGAGCTGAGTTTCATGCAGAGTTGATTGTAGTGGACAGTAACGGCAGGCTTGGGATACATAAATAACTAGCAAATTGAACTAATTCAGCAGAAGCAAGACTTTGGAGCCAGATGTGGTGCTCTTCACAACTGACAATGATCTTGAGAGCTTTGAGTTTCAGGGCAGAGAATAGTGGGGCTTCAAAGCAGGCCAGCCTACTCAAGGAGCACAGAGATGCTAAAATATAATCTTTGATTGTATATTGCAGTGAAAACAATATTTGAACTATGAAAAGTGTCTCAGTACTTGCATCAAAGTGTTATGATGCCATTTTGAGACAGTCTGAAGCCTCCATTCACATGTCAGCCCTAGTAATATTTGTGTCGTTACTCTGCTTCGTGTAAGCTCTCATCAGACTGGTTTATGGTTCCTGCACGGTACCAAGGACACTGCCTTACACTTGGTGGAGGTTCAGGAAAAGTTGGAGAGAGAATGCATAAGTACAATTTATTCTTGCTTTTTCATTACTGTAAATTAGAATGATATTCACACTAAAATGCTTTGGTTAATTTAAAGTGAAGTGAGTAATTCCAAACAATAAACTTCAAGAAGATTCATGCACTTTTCTAATTCAGCCTTCTCCCTTTACGAGGAATGAGACCTTAGTGAAGTCTGTGCAGCCTTGTGTTGATATGATTTATTACCAACATTTTTGATTTTCAAAACAAATCATGATTTTAACCTTTCTACAAATAAAATTTCAGCAATTGGCCTTGCAGCTAGAAAAACATTACTTTTAAACGTATCTTGTTTTCAGCAATAGGGCAAATAGGTTTCTCTTCCATGGCTATGATGACACAGGGTCATAAGTGAAAAATATACACATTTCCTAGGGGAGTTAGGAGAGAGAAGTCATATCGACAGATCACCTCCTGGGTGCCAATTGTGTCAGGCGTCTTGCATGCATTGTGCAGGGAACGCCTAAGGGGTGACAGAATCTCTGGGGTTTCATGCTATGATTCTGTATTTTTATGAGTTCCAGCAAAAGCACAGGCCCCCATCCGAGATCTCCTCTCCCCCAGGACTAGCCTGTGCGTCTTCCCTGGAGGAGCCATTCTCACACAGACGATGCTGAGGGGTGCCCTTCTGCCTGGGTTTCCTGTTCTTTCTCTTCTTCCCGAACTCTCTTCTCTGTCCCATATTTGGTTGTGGTTACTAATTTTTCTATACATTTCAAACAGGACATTCTCATTGTAGAACGATTAGAAGGAGAGGAGTATAAAAAGTCAAGCATGAAACTGCTCACAATACTCTTTTTCCTTTCTTTTTACCCTGCCGCTTTTTAAAAAGGGGGCTCTCCATTCTCTATTTCAGAAAAACATTTTCCAGCCACCACGTACACCCCAGTCATTGTTTAGTGTAAACTTTCGGTGAAATAAAAAAGCTTTGTTATTGTGAATTCCCCCAACAAGTTTCTGTTAAAAGAGGTTCAAACATCATTTCACCATCAAAAAATAGTTGGGGGAGCAGAAGTCATCTCAGCCTCCTGGAATCTGCAGAAGCCCATAGGTCTTCCCATCCCTCTACCCTCTCCCTCCCAGGGGCAAAAGACACCAATATGATATCTGTTCACACTTGTGCTCCTTCCATCGTGGGAGGGACTCAGTGACGTTGGATCATTTATTGACTTATCTTCACAGGCTTTGAGTAATAGGGTTCTAGTCAAAAGCTGATGGTCCTGGTCCTCAAAGCCTTGATCCATTTCCCGTGTTTTTATTCATCTGCTCAGTGGAAATTAGGCTGGTGCTGGTGTTAAAGCTGATCTAAGTTTTCCAGCTGGTACTACTCAAGCCCAAAAAGTTGAGTCTGCAACTCAAATGGACACTAGGAAACTTGGACACTGAATACAAGATACTTGTCTAAATATCAGACTAAAACCAGACTTGAAAAGCCTGGACGTCTTGCCTTGTGCCTGGCACATGGCAAATGCTTGGTTACATCTGTGGAAATAAGTTAATGGCATGAAAGTGGTATTGATTTCATGTCAGAGCTCTTGATTCATTATTTCCTTACGTCCGGAAAAGGTCTCTGTTATTACTAAAGTTTAGAATTGAGGAGTGAATGGAAGTCTTAATGGGGTTCATCTTTTCTGTCCTCTCACATTGCAATCATGACCAGCTACAGAACAAATACAGTCAAAGACAGAGCTATTGGCCACTGGCGTTGGGTAGGACAGTTCTTTTCTATGAGACACTCCAAGCATTTTAGGACAGTTGGCATCCCTGTGCACTAAGTACCTGCAGTACCCATCCTGCAGTCACTGTGCCAATCAGAAAAAAATCAACTAAAAATCCAAATCAAACGCTCCTGAAGAGGGAACGTACATTCATGACTTGAGAACCACTATTTTACAGGATCCCTGGGATTCCAGGTTTTGCTAAAATGTATAAGTTTTTATGAGCACTACTTTACAAGAATTTCAGTTTTGACTGAAATCCACCTGTACGTAATGTCAAGACTTTTATGTTTGTCTTGCTGTCTGTGGTTACACAAGACAAGGCTTTCCTTCTCCCCTTTCTCTGCTCCTGTTTGTATCTATCTCCTCAGCCCGTCCATGATCCTCTTTTACATACTATCTATCTCAACTTCTCACAGTCCATGAATGTTACTTAAAAGATGACACTCAAAATCACATCCAACAAGCCTGATGTGATCTGAACAGGCCAGAGTAAAATGGAGCCCTCCCTCCCATAATCTGAAGGTGCATTTGCTTTTGTAGCAGGTGTTATCACATTTTGAGTTTGTGCTTAGTCTTTGTCTGGGATGTTTCTTCCCTGCCTTCTCTTCTGGGCAGCGAATGGGCGGGGGAAGCTGAGCCAGAAGGAGGGGCTGCTGTTCTTGTTCTTCAGACCTCCCACTTTCAGCTCCAAATCAGGAAAAGAATTGTAAAAACTTACCTGTAAGGGTCATGGATGTGTGGAACTCATTTTTTAAAATGTTCAAAACCTCCTCAACACCACGTTCACCCTGGTCCCAAGACAGAGAGAGAGAGACAGGGAGACAAAAAGAGGCATGAAGGAACATTCCGACCATATGCTGAGTACAAATTCCAAGTGTGCTCAGAGCTGTGGTGGGGATGATGGGGGGTATCTGTGAAATTAGAACTATGTTAGGAATCAAGGGAAGCGAAGAGGGAGATAGGGGTGAGAGCTCTTGAAATTTTGCAACATGCTCAGAGGAATCATGGAGATATGGCCCAGGTGCAACTGTTCTTCAGGAACCTGGGTCACCTGGAAAAATGGCTAAGCTTGGGGGCTAACCTACAGAAAAGCAAGGAAAACAATGAGAAGCACCTTATCTTTCTGCTGGTTTTCATTTTGCCATTCTCACCTTGCAGGCAAGACCCCACAGGATTGGTCTCCCCAGAAAAACACACTTAGCCCCAAGGGCCAGGGACTTTAGCACATCATTGCCAGTTCGGATCCCACCATCCAGGTACACTTCAATTTTTCCTTTCACAGCAGCCACCACTTCTGTCAAGGCATCGATCTGAAAAGGAGAGACATGTGTGGCTCGAGGGATTTCTGTTTTGACTCTCAGGGCATCATGGGACAGCAGTGCCCCCTCAATGGGGGCGAGGACCAGGAAGTCCAAGCCGGGCCATATCTCACAGCTTCTTCCCCTCCTGCACCTGAGGCTGCTGGCGCCTATCAAAGCAGTGCAGCTACGTTCCGAAGGCCCAGGAACTTTCTGTGGGCTCTCCCTCCTGCCATTTTCTGCTCTGCAGAGGGCAGATTCTCTCTGACTCACTTGTTCAGATGCCTACAGCTTGGAAGAACCTCTTGGTTCCTCTTCACACCCTAAGGCAGACATTTTCCATTCATTTTAATCTTCTTCTTTTCAAAGAACATTTTGACTTTTGATTTTCTTCTGCCTTCTCTGTTTCTAAGGTGGTATGGCTAGAAATGTTCTCCACTACTAAGGCACTAAGTCTTTTTGGCAAAACAAGAGTGATCGGCCGTGGCCCAAGTGTCTTTACCGCAGCCTCTCTTGTGTAACTGGGCTACACATTGTTCCTTACACATGTTTGAGCAACTTGTTCCTGACTCCCTCACGGGTTATCTGAGACATGGGATAGGATTGCAGCAGCAACATTGTAAAAGTAGATTTGAAGGCTTTGAAAGACAAAACAAAAGCAGCTTATCACGTTGGCTTGGTTTCTCCACTGGACCTTATCTCTCACTTTGCCTCTTCAATTTCAGGACCTGTGGCCAACAGACCTTGCTGCCCCAAGGTGCCCCAGACCCAGCTGTGCTCCTGAGCACCTCCAAGTCTGTGAGGAGGGGTGAGAGCAGAGTCTGAGAAAAGACTTGGGGAAAGGGTTCTGGAACTGCCTCAGGGCTCCTGTTCTGTGCCTCTTTGAGGGACAACCAGAGAGGAGGAGTAGCAACTGGGCCCTAGGGGGACTTCTGCTGCTGAGGGAGTCAATCAGAATTCTACCTGAATGAGATCCTTTGGCTAAGACTCAGCAGAGTATGAAATCCGGGAGGAAAGAACTTTGCACTTTAATTTATACGTGGAGGAGAATTAAATATGTTTTGGACTTACATGTTAATGGAGAGAATGCATGTTCAAATAAGGGTATTTTTATGGCGCCAGCATGGTATTATTTCTATGATGTTGTGAAAAAGAAATGTGTTTGTGCAAACTCTTCTGCTGGAGCCATACTGGACAATGGAGCTGATGGAATTTGAGATACAGGTTAGGGAGTGAATTTCAGCCTAAGGTCCAATATGGCTTTAGAGTTAATTTTTGATAGGTCAAAGCAGGACATTCATTAGAGGTTTCTGGGGACAATAGCTAGCTTATCTTTCTCCCCAGTCCTAGGAGGAATCACAAGGGGTTTCACAGACACAGAGACTTTGCTCAAAGAGTCACGGGCTTCACCAGGAGGGGACTAGAGTGAGAAGAGTGAGACAGTTACCTTGGGCCGAAAAACTAAGACAAATAATATTTGAACTCAATGTTTAATAAATCAAATGGAAACTTTGACCTGAGGGCTGGGGACTTGTTTTTTATAAATAAAATAAATTAGATCCAGGGCCAGGATTATGGTGAGATGAATGAGGCGGGGTTATGCAAGTACAGCGACAGATTTTGTCTTTATTATAAGGTTGATATTTTGTTCACTGTGGCTTTTTTTGGCATTAATTTTCATTTTTAAAATAATTCATTAAACTATTATTTATCTTACTAAGTTTTTCTGGCACCTTAAATTTTGAGCCAGAGGCAGGTACCTCGCTAGCCTCACACTAATCTTGGTCCTGTTCCTGGGTGACCTGGGGTTTGGTTGTTAAGTCAAGAGGCTTGGGAGAACAACATGTTGATGAGCATGATGAGGTAGGAGAAATTCTTCTCTCTGACTCCTGCCTTTGCCAACACTCATTCTTTATTGAAGTGCAGTGGGAGAATTAGTCAGCCTCTTTCTCCACTTATTACTCAGCCCTCCCAAAGGGAGCAAGACTAGCTAAACTCATTCATGAGAGATAGCCTCTTGTATAATGTTTTACTAGAGTGATTTCGGTATTCTACCCTCTTTGCTACTTGTTTTTGACGGCCACTTCTTTGCTTTCCACTCTAATCTGATAAGCACAGTTGGGACTGCTCAGAGCCTGTGAGGCTCTTTTGTACTATCTGTTCTGCCAGTTACTGGGTGTGTGACAGGTGGGTTTGAGGGCATCATGGCAGGAGTTGGGTGACAGAGCTTTGCGTGTGTTCTACAGACTTGCTTTATGCTGGGGGCATAGGTGAAGAGTTGGGGTGGCAAGCAGGAGGCCTGATCTTTCCCTTCAGTTCTGCTCTCACAGAGAGCCACAGTTAAGTGTGCCCCTTGATCTCCATGTCATTCCATGCCTGTGGAGAGGAGGAGGCGAGTAATTGGCACCTTAAACCTCCAAGCATCACAAACCTTGGAATGTACAGACTGGCTCATGTAGCTTTTTTATTTCCTGGAATTGGTCTTAAAGAAGTAATTGAAAATGTACTAAAGATTTAAGGATGGTCACCGATGTGTTGTTTAAAGTAGCGAAAGCTTGGAAGCAATCCAGATGTTCAACAACAAGAAGTTGGTTATAAAAATTGTCCATTCATACCACACACCATTAAAAATAGGAGAAGCATATACATTGAAATGATGCTCTTAACATATTAATAAGTGAAAGAAGAAAATTACAAAATAGTATATGTAGTTTTTTAAACCCAAAATGTTATATTTGCATTAAGAAGTTGATAAAAACAATTACCAAAATATTGTTATTAATGATAGTGATGAAATTAGGGGTGATTTTTATCTTATTCTTTTTTTCTTACGTATATTTTATAATTTATAAACAGTAAACAGTAAATATGTTTTACTTATATAATAAAAAGGCCAAAAAACTTCAGAGAAAACAAACCCCACTTCCCTTTCTTAAAATAAGTCAAGCAGCAATAGAGGAATCTCTTGAGAAAATACAAGCTGTATATACCCATGAAAATAAGTCAATTGATTCCAATTTAAAGATTCTTTCCCTGCCTCCCTCCTCTTCATTTTCTTTCCCCATTTCCCCAATTCATAAGTTAGGGGAAAAAATTACAGACTGTGTCAGATTTTTAGCAAAGGATTCCTAGGATATTTTAAAGTTTTCTTGTGAAAGACATTATTTGTTAGCTTGAGGGAGAGACTGTTCCTTCCTGGGATGTGTCATATGAGAAAACATGAAGTTACAACTATGCCAACAGGCAAACTTCAAGCAGAACACTTTCTTCCAGAAGGCAGGAGACCTCAGTGGCTTTAGAACATCTGTCCCATCAAATTCCACCTTAACCCCTTACTAACTTGTCAAAATGTGAGCAAGAGTTTAATATCTTTAAACTCAGTATCCTTATCTGTAAAATAGGGATAATAATACTCATCTTGCAAGACTGTTGTGAGATTTAGAGGTGATGTATGTAAAATTTCTAAAAATAACCTGGCACACACTAGGCTATCTTTTTTTTTTTTTTTTTAAAGCTTGGCACCTGAACTAACAACTGTTGCCAATCTTCTATTTGGGTGTTTTTTTTGCTTTTTCCCCCAATCCCCCCAGTACATAGTTGTATATTTTAGTTGTGGATCCTTCTAGTTGTGGCATGTGGGATGCCGCCTCAACATGGCCTGATGAGTGGTGCCATGTCCTTGCCCAGGATCCGACCCAGTGAAACCCTGGGCCACCGAAGTGGAGCACGCGAACTTAACCACTCGGCCACGGGGCCGGCCCCTAGGCTATCATCAGTGATTAGAAGTTGTTAAAATTCACAGGTACATAGCAACGTATGAGGCAAGAGAGATGGGAGTATGCATCAAATTGCACAGAGTACCTTGCTGTGGACACAAACACACCCACCACTCACAAAGACACCCTCTCTGAAGTCATCCTACTTACAGAAGCGAGAACCTCATCAAGCTGCCTCCCACCATGATTGGAAACAATGATGCCTTGGACGTTGTGCTTCACAGCTAACTCTGCATCCTCCTTTGTCAAGATCCCTTTCAGGATGATGGGCAATTGAGTTATGCTCTGAAGCCAGGAAAGATCATCCCAGCAGTTGGATGGGTCTATGGAGGACATCTGGAGACAAGGCCCTGAACTCTGTGGGGAATAAAAGAGAAACTTAGTCCCGAACTCCTTCAAGACTGTTTGATCCATTCCAAAGATGAGACACATTTGGAGAGCACCATTTATAAACTTGAAAAGAGGAGCAACAATACTACTTCTAGCTCCTTTTCCTAACAAAATTTGTGTAAAAAGAATTTCTACTTCAATTGCTTATTCCTTAACCATTAATTGTGTCCCTGCTCAATAATGACATCAGGATCTGGGGACACAGAGACAAATAAGGCAGTCCCTACCTTAAAAGAACTCACAGTTTAGTAAGTGGGATAAGGTAAGCAAAAGCATTCGTAGGCCAATGTAAAGTGTTATGGCTGAGATATGCACAGAGTAATAAGAACTAAGCAATACCTCAATAACCCTAAATCAGATATTACCCAATATTTATCCTTGGCTCACCATGTGAACCAAATATCCGCAAATCACAACATGTCCCTGGAATCTGAGATCAGGATTCTAGAAAACCTCAAGGCCCATTTGAGGTTAATGAGTAGAACTGTTGAGTCACTTGGCTGGGTATCACAGCTGCTCATTGCTGAAAAGGCTGGTATTGTTATCTCTACTGTAGCCGAAGGATTCCAACTTTACCATGGCTTGCTTTCTCTGGGGCATTCCATCCCATCTGACTGTAGGATTTTGTGTGTGTGTGTGTGAGGAAGGTTGTCCCTAAGCTGACATCTGTTGCCAATCTTCCTCTTTTTGCTTGAGGAAGATTGTCGCTGAGCTAACATCTGTGCCAGTCTTCCTCTATTTTTTTTTTTTTTGAGGAAGATTAGCCCTGAGCTAACTACTGCCAATCCTCCTCTTTTTGCTGAGGAAGACTGGCCCTGAGCTAACATCTGTGCCCATCTTCCTCTACTTTATACGTGGAAACGCCTACCACAGCATGGCTTTTGCCAAGTGGTGCCATGTCCACACCCGGGATCCGAACTAGGCCGCCGAGAAGTGGACGTGTGAACTTAACCGCTGTGCCACCGGGCGGGCCCCTGTCTTCCTCTATTTTATGTGGGATGCCACCTCAGCCTGCCTTGATGAGCAGTGCTAAGTCTGTACCTAGGATCTGAACCTGCAAACCCTGGGCCGCCCGAGCAGAGCATGCAAACTTAACATCTATGCCATCTGGCCAGGCCCTGACTGTAGGATTTTAATGAGGGAAGTAGTCTTTGCAGTCACCTATTCATAGTTTCCAAACAAGTGTGCTGCAGTACCCTGGTGCCCCAGGGATGAGTTCTAGGTGTGCAGAGATATTGACCCCTCAGTTCTCAAGGCAGCAGGATGGAGCCTGGGCTGGCTATACTCCGTGGGCCAGTCATATTGGGTGTGAGCATCCTCTTCAGAGGGTCAGTTTATCTAAGTATGCTATCCAAAATTATCGTTTTCTAAGTGTGTCATAAAGCAGAAAATGTTGGAAGAACTTGTTTAGTTTACTCTCGTATTTCATGAAAAAATCCTTTCCCTAGCTTTCTTATTTCTCCATATCCAGCCCTGGCCAGAACACTTCTGGTGAAAGGATGGGCAACTCCAGGCATGAGAACATTTTGTCTTATATTCTGCTTGTCTGGAATTTCTGGGTACCAGGAACCAAATCCACTTTTTGAACTGTTGCGTTCCCAGTGTCTTGCACAGAACAGACACTCAATGAATTCTTGTGGAAAGAAAGAAGGGAGGAAAGGGGGATGGAAAGGTGCCTCCTGGATTGCTCGCCCATTGGCTCTGGTATCTTTCCTACCTCTTTAGGTGATCGAAGATCTTTCAGCAGTAAGTTTGTCTTCAAGTCCACTTGGTTTCGAATGTCATGTCGCCTGTTGCCAGTTATGGGTACATCTACAGTGATGACCAGAGCTTTGAAACCCAGCGATTCTACCCTCTGGATCAGCTGTTTGTTTAGCTGCCGGTCGCGCTGCACATAGAGTTGGAACCACCGGAGACCCCTGGGGGCAGTAGCAACAATGTCTTCAAGGGTACAGCTGGCATACGTGCTGGTGATATAGCAGATATCAGCTGCTTGAGCAGCTGCAAAGCAAATGACACAACTCAGGTTGGAGGAGATAGAGGCATTCTGGACTCGGATGAGAAGCCCTAGGAGTCTGTGTTGCCTCTGACCAGCTTGCCCTGTGAGTGAAGATACATCTTGACTTCATTCTGCTTCTCTATGGGGCAGGGATAGGAGGCGTTTGATCAGACTGGGAGGCCTAAAGCTGTCTGGGTCCCCCTCTGTACAACCTGTCTTACAAACCTTGCAGTTCATACTAAAATATTTCCAACTGAGATTCATTTAGTCCTCAGAACCATTTTGGGCCATGTTGCAGCTTTGAGATAGGAAATGGGCTTCTGGTGAACTCATTAATGAAGCAGAAGGGAATTAAAGAGGACAAAGGATGAGAAAATGTAATTCCAATGGAGAAGACTGAGCTTGTACTAGAAAAATCATGATATCCAAAGTGAGAAGAACACTAGTTCTACCACTTTTTACCTTTGTGAACTTAAGTCTCATTTTCTTTATCTGTAAAATGGAGGAAATACTAATGCCTCTTTTACAGGGTTAGTGGGAGATTAAAGAAGATACTAGATATGGAAGCATTTTTTAAATTACAAAGCGATGTACTGTATAAATGCTGGTGATAATAAGGTTAATGATGATGATAGTGATGATGACGTGGACAACTGCTGCTGCTGCATAGCATATTTCACATTTCTTGCTTTAATCATTTTCTGTACGATTCTCCAACAGGTTAATGTCACTACCATTCTACAATCCATGGGCAGAGAGTGTTGCCTAATCAAGAATTAATATTTTCAATTCCTGATGTCAACAGGAGATAACCCATTCTTTTGCCCCACCCTCAAAACAACACAACACATTCAACCATGAAGATTTAGTAAAGTAGTCATATTCATATAGGCTATTTGTATTTCAACCTAGCCAGACTTGATTCCTAACCAGATGGATGTCACTTTCAGCTCTAGAAAATTCTTGGATTCATTGCTTCCTATATCATGGAGTCAAAGGAAAAGAGCCCAGGGAAGCTCTGAAAAACTTGCGAAAAAACAGATTTGACTCAGGACAAAGATTACAGAGAAGCCACAGGAATATTTTTAACCCCTTCCTCCTTCCTTCTCTCTTCCCTTCCCTTCTTTTCTCTGCTCTTCTCTACTCCTTATTATTTTTTTGGTGGTGGTGGGGAATAAGGGAAGAGAATGAGGTGCTACTAGGAAGGAGACATACCCCACAAGAAACTTTTTGTCCAATAAGATGACAAAATCAATTGAGGTGAAAGAAAATGGAACATCTGAATAAGAGCACCTGCCAGGGCCTTGTGTTAGGACCTAATGTCATGACACTCTCCTCATCTGAACTTCAGAGGCTCACCATTCAGCCCCAGCCTTGGCCCATAAGGGGTGAAAGAGAGCCCTCCCCTTGAGGCCACACTAAGCATCCTTTTCCCCACAGAGAGTGTGTCAGAGGAGCCAGTGTGCCTTTTCTGTGGGGTGGCTTGGTGGGATTTCAAATCTCCTAATCATCTGTAGCCCCCTCTCCCACTCTAACCATGTTTATTATGGAAAATGGGTATTTTCTCGATCTTGGGTGATACGTTCACAAACACAGCTTTAAGCATTCTTTTTTCCACCCTCCTTAATTCTAACCAGATTGCTGTCCCTAGGCCCTTTCTGTAGAGAAATCCTGGAGCTGCCTGGCCACGCTCTGAAGGATACCTCCTGCATACTTCAGGGCCCCTGGGAAGGGAGCCTCAAGGTGGGGTTTGTTCATACCTCTGGCTGTGCTCATTTCTCCATCAGGCCAGGCAAGGCAGTGGAAACCTGTGGGTGAGATGCAAATGGGAGCACTGATCTTCTCCCCTTGGATTATGGTCCTGGTGTCCACCTCTGACACATCTTTTAAGTACCGGGGACGGAGGCGAATTCTGCGCTGGACAACAAAGAGATTTTCTATTAGTGGGATTACTCTCCAGCATGCGGGTGCTACCTGGTACTGAGGCCTCCAGATTCCTGGTGCGGGTTTAGACCAGACTGTGTTCCAAGAAACCTCTGGTGGGGTCAGTTGGCTGGTAGCTGATTAGGCAGCATAGACCAACTGAAGGCCCCTCTCCAGGAAGCCTCTCCCAAGCCTATTCCTTATTAACCTACCTCCTGCGTCCACACCATTCCCTGTCTTGCTCTGTCAAAGGTCTGTGTCTCTGAGCCATGCCTCCCTGACCAGACTCTCAGCACTTGGATGTTTTGATTCATTCATCATATCAAGCACTAGGGAAGAAAAGAATAAGCAGGAAGGAATTCCAGGCTCTTTCCCTCTAAGGTTAGAATCAAGTCTCCGCAAAGTAAGAAAAGGTCACTGAAAGGACAAATCTCAGGGAACGATCATGGTGTTATTGTTTTTTTTACTAGCGGCTAATTCATTTGAAGATTTGACTTAAATACAGCTTTAGAAGAAGGCAGGAAAATTCACAATTAATACTTAAAATATGCTTTTAAGACCAATAGATACTTAGCCTCAGGGTCCAAAAATGCTTGTTTTTCACAAAATCTTGTTATTTCTGTACACAAACTTAGAAAGATTTTTCTGGAAACCCTGATTGTGCAAACTTGAGTTAGATAGCCTCAGTTACTTCATCTGTGAAATTGGAGCAACGATCCAAATTTCCTAATAGTCTTGTGAAGACAAAATGAGATAGAGCAATTAAAGTGCTTGGTAAAGGGCTAATTAGGTAGGGAAATACAGAGTATAGTGTTCACCTTGCATCCCATTTTTCAGTTTTCTTCTGACCTCTCTATCAGAGGGGTCAGCAAACTTTTTCTGTAAAGGACCAGATAGTAAATATTTCAGGCGTTATGGACCATACAGTCTTTGTCACAATTATTCAGCTCTGCTGTTGTCATGCAAAAGCAGCCATAGATAATATGTACATGACTGAGCTTGGCTGTGTTCCAATAAAACTTTATGTATGGATATCAGAATCTGAATTTCATATAGTTTTACATGTCACAAGTTCTTCTTGTTCTTTTGATTTTTTCAACCATTTAAAAATGAAAAACCATCCTTAGTTTGTGGGCCATACAGAAATAGGCAGTGGGCCTGACTTGGCCTGTGGGCTGTGGTTTACTGACCCATGACCTATCCCCTGCTGTTCCAGTCCAACCCTTGAATTGCTCTTCTTTCATCCCTAAGACTCCTTGGGTCTTCATATTTCTTCTAACCTGAGTCCTCTTTCCTGTCGTACATTATCTCCTCAAAACTAGAAGTTTAGGAACTGAAGACATTAGGGCTATCCAGCAGCTTCTCCTCCCTGCCCAAGTGACTGGTGACCTTCTTGTCCTATCTCGTCAGGTGGCAAAGCTTCTGGGAAACAGAGGAGGAGCGACTCACTTGTTCCAGTTCTGCAGAGGCACTGAGATAAGTTCTCTCTCTGTATCCATCCTTTCCCCACCCACCTGTCCACGCTCCAACCTCCCCTCAAAGCAAAACAACAACTACAAAAACCATTATTACAGCTTGAGTACTCTGTTCTTTGGAGGCAGCAGCCAAAACTGCTACTTTCCAAGGAGCTCTCAACCAGTGCATCCTAGTTTAATAATAGAAAGGATACAGAAGACCAAACTTTTTAAATGCTGCGATGTTGTCTTCCTTTGTGAAGCCTTCACCAGCTCCTCCTTCAATATAATCCCAAGTTGTCTTAGAGAGGCGCTCCCGTGCCTGAGCCTGAAAGTCTGTCAAACACACGAAGGGCATTTCTGGGGCTTCAAAGGATAAACCAAAACAAAACAAACAAAAACCAGTAAGAATACTTCAGACGTAGAGGAGAGAGCGAAGAGGGGCTACAGCATGAAGCTATGGACTCAGCATTAACCCCCTGTATTCTTTATCTCAATGGACGTACTGGCAAAGATGCTGATACCTCAGCCAGAAAGCAGGGAGTCATGTTGCACTCCTCCATTCTCCCACCCTCATCCCCAAGTCCTGATTATTTGGTCTTCAAAATACCCCTCATGTCTGTCCCCTCATCTCTATGCCCCCTGCCTCAAGCCTACTTGAGGCCCCACCACCTCTTGGAAGATTGTTACAAGAATTTCTTATCTTTGTCTCTTAGCCCCCAGATTCACTCTCCATCTTGTTTCCCTCCAGCTGCCTGGGATCTTTCTAAAATGCAAGTCTGATCATGCCTCTTGTCTTTGAAGGGCCAAAATCATGGCATTCACAGCTTTCCAGGACACAGCATCTAACTGTCTCACCAGCTCCATTTCTCTGTGGCTTTTCCTTGTCATTTGAGTCACTGAATACTGGAGGGCTATTTCATACCTCTGTGCCTTTTTGGGGGGAGATCCATCAGGGTAGGAAAATTGGGACTGAATTGATACTTATATATGGGAGTTCCCAGGAACCTCTGGATGTATGATTTGCCTGGGGCTGTAGTTCATGTGGGGAAGGAAGCTGACATCTTTCAACTCCTCAGTTGGGTTATTGAATATGTTGCTAATTTTGACACCAAGAAAACAACATATGTTACCTCCATTAGTTCCCATCCCCAATCTGAACCCTATAAACCTGGAGGTTAGTACTTCTGATACAACCACCCCTGAAAGAGGAGAGGGCAGGTTTGGGGGTAAATCCCTCCAGTAGGGGCAAGAGCAATGGGAATACTAGCTGCAGATATGCTGAAGGCACTGGTTGCAATCAGTCACAGAATGTAGAGCTCCTGCATGAGAGGATTCCATCAGGAAAGACTGAGAAATCTGTAGTTCACAGCTCTAGACATCTCCCTGGCAGTTGGCAGTGGGGTAAATATTAGTTAAAGGCCATGAGTAGAAATGGAATGACTTAAGTCATTGACTAAGAGATGGGAAAAAGCCCTAGGAACTAGGGATTCAAACACAAATGGGGCAGCTCTTCTAACGGACGAGGGGGCCAAGAAGGCCAAATGAAAAGTAGGGTGCTGGAAATCTTGGTGGGAGTAGGGATGGAGCAGAACTGACCTGAGGGCATCTAGGGCCACATCAGAATCTAGTCATGTAAAACAGAGAAGTAACCTCAAACACCCACCTAAGGGGCTAAGCAGAAAGAAGTTATATGACAGACAGAAAACAGAGCTCCTGGGATGTGCGGTGGGATCCAGATGGAGGCTAGGGGGAGGAATTTGGAGCACAGCCACAGAGCTTTTTATAGGCAATGCACCCTGTCGATGGGTGGGCAGGGAGCTATTGAGGTACTGAGTTGAGTTTGACAAAGTATAGCAACCGTGTCTAATTTATCTTATTCCTATTCGACTCTTCGAAGGCTCAGTAACTTTAGTTGAATGAATTAATCATTGTGTTTATCCAACTGTATTTAATCACTAATTTATACCTCTGTGTGCATAGAAGAGTTAACACAACAGGACTGAGAATGTTATCCCTTGAAAGGTCTGCTTTCAGGGTTGGATCTTGGCTGAAGTCTGGGAACTTGGATTTTGGGAAGGTTCCCACCAGTGCCTGATAAGGATAGCTCACTATTCTAAACTGTTTGTGCAAATAACGTGGTTTATGCTGAACATCTGCTTTCATTCTGGAGAAGCTACCGTTTTGGTATGGGTTAGGCAGAGGGTGTTTATATGACCAGCCCCCAACAAAATACCTGGGCACTGAGTCTCTAATGAGTTTCCCTGGTAGATAAAATTTCATACATGTTGTCGCAATCCATTGCTGGAGGAATTAAGTGCATCTTGCTTAATTCCACTGGGAGAGGACTCTTGAAAGCTTAGACCTGGTTTCCTCTAGATTTTGCCCCTTGAGCTTTTCCCTTTGCTAATTTTGCTTTCCATTCTTTCGCTGTAATAAATTATAGCCTCAATTATATGCTATGTGCCATGAGTCTTCCTAGTGAATCACTGAACCTGGGACCCCCCCAACACACTTTGTAGCCCCAGGCATTAGGTTAGTACATGACGCTGAGGTGCTGTTCATAAATGTTCATTACTTGAACTTAACATTCCCCGTCTGTCATCTCTCTGCCTTGTTGAATGAGAATTTTCCACCAGGTTTCAACTCCTGATCTCTCAACAAATCTCCATATCCTATACATTACACACTCACAGAAATGCTTTTCTGCAGATTTCTAGCATAGAAACTCAACAATGCTTGTGTCTAATCCAAGAGAAATGGCTCAAATGCACTCAGGATTACTTGCCTGGAACAATGTGAATTATGTCATCTGAAAGCATCTTTATATATACTAAACACTATTTTATCTCATTTCTGTCTACTATTTTCTTTTCTATCTGCTATTTCCTTTACACTTCCCTGTAAAGTAGGTAGAGAAGGTATTAATCTCTTCATTTTGCATTTGAAGAAAATGAGGGCTAGGAAATGAAATAACTTGTGAAATATCAGGCCATAAATTATTACAGGGGAAGGCTCAGAATAATGTCTTCTGGTAATGTCTAAAGATAAACATTCTCCATTTTCAATTTCATGATGCAAAAAAAAAAAAGAGTTGGTTCACATAAATTACTTGTTATATTGAATTTTAAAGAATTTCTTAGGGTGAAAATACGATTATGATGCATTTTTTTTTCATAGCATATATAAAGCTTGGTAGAGTGCTGAGCCCACTATTTTTATCAGAGGTCCAATATAAGGCTTATAGTTGAAGAGAAGGGCAACTTCGTTGTTCAAAGCTTTCTCTAAGTTTGGGAGGGAGACTTAGCAGTATACATTTTTATGTGTTCCAGTTTGATCCATACCAGACTTAAAGACACCAGAAATTAAAGGGAGGATCCAAGTTTTCTAATGGCTTTCTTGTGTTTCCATTTTATTTGATCTCCATTTCAGTATTTTTTCTTCTTTTCTCCTCTATCCCAACAGTCCAAGAGGAAGAGAAAGGGGAGGAATGGATAAAAGTGTCTTGCACCCTGATCAAGAACTTGAGCTCATTTAATCCATTCATGCATTTTGTCTCATGGTAAAAAATGGTGAGGCACAACTAGCATACCAGTGATAAGGAAACTGAAGTCTAAGAGTAAGGACATTCAGTGGTACCTGTTGCTAATGATGTGAGGTTCAAATAGTTTTCCCTAACCACGGGAAGGGGGAAGGACACTGACTGGGGCCAGTAGACATTTCAAGGCAGAGTTTGCTTTCTTCAATATTGCCATTTGATCTAATGCAGTTAGGCTAGATAACAAATTGTCTTCCTTTGAAGGTTTCATCTGATTCTGTGCTACCCCAAAATGTGTCTTTTTGGCTTGATTATTTTTGAGAACAAAAGAAACTTCTCAGGAAGAAATTTTGACCCTTCCCCTGACTGCCTAAAAGGATTTAAGATAGCAGGCCTGTTCCAGGAAGGAGCTATCACCATAGAGAACTATAGTATAATATGAACTAGGGGTGGTAGTCAGGGAGGAACCTAATAAGGCCCATTTGATCAAAGTCCTCTCATTATCTTTACAAGACATGACAAATATTTATTTACCAAATGTTTGCTTTTCCATCTCCATGTGGACTGCCTTCCTCCCCTTTGAATCCCAAACCACTACCCCCAACATCCTCCTTTATCTTTAGCTGAAGATGGTATTTAAGGTGGTGGCTTCAGACGTTTTGGTGAATTACTCAGTTTTCCTGGTTTTCTCCCATGTATACATGTTATTAAATCTGTTCGATTTTCTCCTGTTATTCTGTCTCATGTCAATTTAATTCTTAGCGCAGCCAGAAGAATCTATAAGGGTAGAGGAGAACTTCTTCCTCCCCTGCAACTCATACAATTCATGTTGGTGTCACTTCAGGAACTCTTGGCTATCAGAATTTTTATTTGTATGAAAAATTCCTAGGCATTCTAAAAGAAGTCTCAGAGTGGAAATTGCAGGGTAGGTCATTGAGAGGCCAGAGGGGAAGCAAAGGCTGCCTCTGATGACCCCCTTTAGGTGCTTGGTACTGCAGGGTGGTATCCTTCAAGACCTTCTGAGTTAGTTCCCTGGGAACTTATGCCCAGTTTCCCAAAGGGGTGGTAGACGTAATGTCAAGGCTACACTTTGAGGGCTTTGTTTCAGAGATTACACTGTTCCAGGTTGGCTGAAAGAGCTTTAATTGTTGTATATGGGGTGATAACCTCAAGGTGAGTGACTGCAAAGCCTAGGGCCATCACCATAGCAATGGCAGTATTGAGAAAGGAGAAGTTATAGCCAGAGGAGGCCCTGGTCATGGAATGCATGGTGGCAGAAGGGTCCCAGAGCTGTTGGGCCCACAGGCAGGGTCAGGACCAAAGACATGAATCAATACCACCTGTGGCTGAGGGAGGTGAGCCCCCAGGGAGTCCCCGAAACGGGGAGGAAAGGTCAGAGTGAAGGACTTAGATTCCAAGGAACATCAGACCAGATAGAGTAAAAATGAGACCAGCCTGTTTCTAACTTTGGAGTGGCCTGAGGAACTAAAGATTCCATCTGTATGGAGTGAGGAACAAACGGGCTAGTGTGGGTCTGACAGGCACCAGTCTAGTCAGATGCTGCAAGAATTGACTGGGGTTTCTATCTGCCCAGGATCAGTTCTGGCCTCTTCCCTGAGCCCTCACACATTGTGAATTGAGGACTCAGGACCCATTCCAGGTCATGATGGCCACTTTTTTTGTTTTATTCTGTTTTGCATAAAAGTAATCTCTGCTCTTCAGCCCACCACCCCTCAGCCACTCTCATTAGCCAGTTTTCCTTGCCAGTCATTAAACTTCCCCTCTTGACCTGTAAGCATGTTCTACCATGAGGAGCAGGATGTTTCAG